GTAAATGATAATCAAATCAATGGCAACGAGTGATCATAAAAAGTGGCCATTTTTTCATTAGTCTTGAAATGCAATGAATTGATGACAGGATTGCGATAATCATTGATAATCTCATACCTCATCGTTGGTCTCATTGTTTTCCTTCTGGTTTTGGTCTCTATTGTTGTTTGAGTTGTTTTTGACACCAATCTAGACGTCAAACAAATCCAACAGACAATTAGTGTTTGCAAAACAACTATTCAATCAAATTAAATGTGAAAAACAATCGCTTTTTCGCAATCAAAACAATAGTTTTGTGTATAAATTGTGATACAATTGACATTGAAATGAAGACACGGCACGAAATGTGTGTAATATAGTGTGTGAATAGGTTTAGGGATGACTTACTTTATCCTTTTTGGGCTTATTTGGCATTTTGTGACCAAATAGTGATTTANGTGAAAAACAATCGCTTTTTCGCAATCAAAACAATAGTTTTGTGTATAAATTGTGATACAATTGACATTGAAATGAAGACACGGCACGAAATGTGTGTAATATAGTGTGTGAATAGGTTTAGGGATGACTTACTTTATCCTTTTTGGGCTTATTTGGCATTTTGTGACCAAATAGTGATTTACAAAATAACAAATCAATTCAATTAATTGTGTTTCAAAACATAGACATCAATACAAGTGATGAACGCAATGAATGGCAACGCATAGTATGTGTAGTCTATGTGTAGTGAACGCCACTCTCGATACAGACATTACACTCTATCACAGTCTGTATGCCATACAGTGTATGCATCAAACAGTGTAGTCATAAAAGGGATCATATCATCACTACATTCAACACAACCAATGCCTGCCATCCCTATTCAGTGCCCATTGAGTGCCGCTCACATCCCTGTCACCCCTTTTATGCCCTTTTCATGCGTTCAGTTCATTCAATTGCAACTCAATCAACAACTTTTCAATTTACAGGACAACCACTACTTGTGTGCACAAACCTATGGCTTAATATACCACTGCACTTGTGTGCACCACTGTATTGTGTTGTTTAAACTAAACATAAAGTAACATGGTATGGAAATAACAATACAGATATTGAATATATGAGCTTGACAATAGAATTTCATTGTGCAGTATCATGTTTAATATTATTGTATATTAAGGTTATTTACTTATAAACTAATAGTTTTGTCTACCAAATAGATTAACTAGGTGATATTTAGTCGGATTATTGATGTAATAAGTAAAATGTCATAACATGGCACTATAATAGTCTTGTACTGTATATCTTATAGCTTACGTCTAAATATATATATTGTATATAAAATCAATAATATTCTCATCAAATATTCACACATTCAAGTCATTAACACTTTAGTGAATAAAATTTTGAGTTTAGCCATAAATGTAATTCAAATGTGTT